TCAGAGATCTCTCAATAGTTTGCATTCTCTTGCTCAGACAGCCTGTGGATTCTCCTTTTCGGTAAAATGCCATCCTAAGAGTATTTTGATCATATTTTAATCCGATATTTCCACAGAATTACTCTGAACAATAGGGAAGATTAGCGAATTTAATTTTTAATTTTTAATTATATTATTGATTATAATTGAAAATATTAATAATAAATATCAATCAAACATTAATAGTCAATAAATTTGTATTTTACACAATAATTTTCATAATCAATTACTAATTTTAATTTAATCAATTTATATAATTTCTTTTGAAATCCTGGTTTATTTTCCAGTCTAGTTTTATAATGATCGAATTATTTTTAAAATAATTCATTTTCTAACTAGTGAATTTATTTTCTGGGGCTAATTTTTATGTTGCATGACTAGATCTTTAATTAGAACAATAAAGCAAAATGAAAGTGTAACATTCATCCTATAATATAAATTTAATCTATAATGTATTTATTTTTCATATATTAACATCTTTGGACATTCACTTGAATTATATTTTTTTTAATATCTGTAATTGATTTTGCAATGATGTCTTCATTTATTTAAATATATATAATTGATTTTAGAATATCTAAATGACCAATTTTTAGTAGAAATATATTAAAAATATCTTATTTGGAACCAAAAATCTAGAATGAACATAATTAAAAAAAATTTAGTCGATTTAAAAACAAAGATTGCTTATGAAAATTGATGTTTACTTTTTTTATACCTTGAATAATATTTTTTAATAATCAATGATCATAATTGAATTCATGTAATTTCTAGCACCGATTTAAATCCATTTCTATCCAAGTACCAATTTTTTTACCAAATTCATATTCACCATTCTAAGTTATTTAACTCATTTAATAAAACCCATCCTTCAACTCAATCCATTTCCCAACTTTAATTCCATTACCTCCTAAATCATAAGATCCGCCACCACTAAAATATTGGTAAATTAAATTTAATATTTACATTTTAGATCCTCTATATAAAATATCCCATTAACCATTTTTTTTCCCATTATTATAATGACCGTTATAAGTTACTTATGATTTCTCCCAAAATCCATCACCTAATTCAACCCATTAACCAATCTTAATTCCATCTCCTTTTTCATCAAATAATCCTCCACCACTAAAATATTTTATAGTATCATTTATACATCTTTGATCCTTAGAAATAAATATCCCATCTACCAACTTTTTTACCAATTTTATATTCACCTTAGTAAGTTACTTATGAATAATATTAAAATCCATCACTCAAATCAATCCACTATCCAATCTTTAATTCCTCTCCTTGTGAATCGTATTATCCACCACCACTTGAATTGAATTTTAATATTTTATACATTTTTTTATTTTGAAACAAAGTATCCCATCTACCAACCTTTTTGCCATTTTAATATCCTCCACAATAAGTTACTTATGAATCATCATAAAATCCTTCACTTAAATTAATCCATTATCCAATCATCAATTCATTTCCTTATTCATCATATGATCCACCGGCACTATAAAATTGTGTATATAATTATATATATTACATTTTTTTATTTTCATAATAAGTGTCCCATTTACCAATTTTTTTGCCATTTTTATATTCACCATTGTAAGTAATCACTGATCTTTCCCAAATTCCTTCACTTTATTCAATCCATAATCCAATCTTATTTCCAGAACCTAGTTCATCATATGATCCACCACTACACAATTTATATTACTTTATTCAATTTACATCACTCTATTTTCCATCAAAATTTTCCATTTACCAACTCTTTTACCATTTAAATAATTTCCGCAATAAATTATTTATGATCTATCCCAAAATCCCTCACTTAACTCAACCCACTGTCCAACTTAAGTTTCATTTCCGTTCTTATCATATTATCCGCCACCACTAACGCGCGTGATATAAAATATAGATTTACATCTTTTCTTATTTATAATAGATATTCCATCCACCAACTTTTTTGCCATTTTAATATTCCCCACAATAGGTTACTTATGATTTATCCCAAAATCCCTCACTAAGTTCAATCCATTATCCAATCTTAACCTCAGCATCTCCTAAATTATATTATCCCCCTCCACTAATTTATTTTAACATATTTTAACTATACATTTTTTTAAATTAGATCTCATCCTCCGTCTTCCATAAAATTTCCCATTTACCCACTTTTTTATCATTTTTATATTCGCCATTATAAATTACAAATGATTTCTCCCAAAATCCTGACCAAAATTCTCTCCATATTCCATTTTTCTCTCCTTTATCATTATATTCTCCCCCAAAACTAATATAATTATTTATACTGTACATGCATTAATCTTTATAATATTATTACCAGGTTCCTCTTCTTTAACCCTCTATATATTCTCCAATTTCATATGCCTAAGCTTTGCTATTAAATAATTACTTAAATTTACCTCCAATAATTTGGAATTATTTCTTTCCAATTGCCTTATTTTTTTCCCTCATTAGAGTACTATCCTCCAACATCTTTTAAACTTTCTCCTTTCCATATAGCTTTCCATTTTCCAACCTTTTAATTATTTTTACCATAACTTCCGAACCACCTTAAGAATTAAATTTACTCTAAATTTGTTAAAACATTAGGTTTCACAGTTATATCATTAATACGAAAGCTGTTAAGATTTATATTTAAATAATTACCTTGTTATGATTGAACCATCTCTGATGTATTAGATTTCTTATTCTTTCGTAAATTTAATTAGAAATTTTGTGTTGATAAACTTTAGACCATATTAATCCCAAATATTACATTTTTATTGGTAAATAGCTTCTTTCCATATGAATTTTTCATCATTTTGTGCCCTAAAAGAAAATAATTAAGTAATGGATTTACTAAACTATTTATAAAATAACTTTCATTTGTTCATTATACTTTTGATGAAAAGCTTGCATCTCTTTACCAAACCAAATCTATACTGCTTCTAATTTTGTTAATTAAGAATTTTTTTCGATATTCCATTCATCCAAAATTTTTTCATTCATTATTTAAACTAATTTATCTAAATCAGTAAACGAAGATTCTGCAAAATTATCATTATTATTTATGAGATCGATGAATTATTTATTTTTTTTTTCAATCATATTGTATATTTATTTTGTTAATTCTGTTAAATCTGACCACATATTTTTAATTTAAATTTCTGTTTGAGATAGCATTTATTTTTATTTCATTCTCAATTATGTTAACTCAGATGTTCCATCAATCTTTAATTCAGAGAATTTTTTAATCACTTATTCTCTAAATTTATTTATAGGGACTGTTTATCTAATTTCCACTTTATGTTCATATTGGCATTCAACACAAAGTTTCCTTTAACATTTATGGGGGGCTACACAAATCAACGAAATAGGAATTTAAGGATGAAAATTGCACAACATTTTATTAAAAATAATAATAGAAATATATAATGTTTTCGCTTATTTTGGAAAAAAAATAATTTATTGTTTACAAAGAATCTAATTGCTATTTCATAAATATTGATAATACTTTATTGATAGGAAAAATATTCAAAAATATTAGATTATTAAATCATGATTAATAAAGGGAATAAAAGATTATTTTATATTTAATTAATTATAATCATATTATAAAGCTTGCTACCCATATAATTAAAAATAGAATGAAATCATAACCAATCTCTTTGATGGGATATTGAAATTTGAAACATTATCTGGAGATTTTTCAATTAAGACAAATGGCCTACATTAATATATGCATATTTGAATTGATCTATTTTAGTTCACGTTTTCAAATATTATTTTATATTTACATCAAAATCTAAATTGTTCTTAAAGATAGATTAATGTTATCAACATTTTTTAAAATGTTAAAAGTACAATTATCTATACCATATTACTTTCTATATTGACTATTTCATGAAAATTGGATATTTATTTTCTCTCTCAAATTGAATTTAAATTGCCTGTATCAAATATTTTATATTTTTTGATTCTTTTATTTCAATAAAGTCTACACTCTTATGAACACACTAATTGACGCTAAAATAGTTTTTATGAGTTCAAAGTATCATTATAACCTTGCAGATTATGCTGATTTAAATTTTAACTTTGCACTTTTCATTTCTTAATATTTGAATTTTTGTTCAGACAAATTAAATAATTTATAATGAAAGGCAGATATTCAATTTTTCTTTAGATTATCCAATGAAATAACACCTAAATCACAATCAAGCCAATAAAATAATCATGAATTTAAACTGTTTTGTAAGATTTTAGAATGCAAGGATAGTACCTTGGAAATCTAGCATCTTTAAAATTGAAATGTATAATTTGTTCCTTAACAAAAATAATTTATTAAGATGTTAGATATTAGTTTTTAGAGTACTTTTTATTATTTTATATCTAAACATATATCTGATTTATATAACTTTAAACTGGATTATGATTGAATGAAAATTAATTTCAATTGACTTTATGGTAAAATAATCAGTGAAATAGTATTGGTTAACAATTATGAATTATCACTATTTCAATAATATCTATTAATGAAAAGAAGTGAGTTTTGGAGTAAAAATTTCATGAGAAAGAATTTCAATTTAAAAATGATTTTTAAATGGAACTAAATAATTTTTATTAATATAAAATAATTATGTATTTCAAAATTCATAAATTGCTGTAAAAGGCATTTTATGAATCATTAACACCTTTAATTTCATAATATTGATTTTCTAAATTAGCTAATGACTCTCTTCCTTAAGAAAATTCAGATTCTTCTAAACCTTCAGTAACATAGCACCAAACAAAAGCTCTTTTTGTATATACTTTATCAAACTGGGCCCCTAATAATTTAAATCTACTAATAATTGAAGCATCATTTGAAAAAAATGTTCCAGTTTTTTTCATTTCTGCAAATTCAGGTATTATTTAGTAATTAGATGAATTACATTAAAAAATTCTTGGGCTTTAGTTAAAGTAATGGTCTAAATTCTAAATTGTTAAATCAAATTTGCCATAAAAATGATTAACTTCTTTTTATCTGAATAATAAGGTTGTAGAAAGATGTCTAGGATTTTGAGGACATTGATAAAGTTTTAACTCTTTTTTAGTGAGATATTTAATGAATTAGCTTTGATCTAATTCTTTTCTATTGTAATCATTTATTAAAGTCATTTTACCAAAAGACGGTATAAAATAATGCATTTAAGGATAGGGACACATATTTGAAAAAAACTTGGAATTATCACTAGAATTAAATCTTCTTAATCCAGTATATTAACTAATAATTTATGCAACCAAGTTATTTATATGTGAATAATCAACAAAATCTAAATCTAGTTGATGATCAATAACATTATACATTGACTAATTGTCAAACATTGTGATACTTTAAAAATATTCTCTTGTCATTTAAATTGAAAACATAGCATTATAAACTCCAAGTATATTATTTGACATCTCTGAAGATGGGAATATTATAAATCCATTTTTTTTTACTTTATCTCCATAATCACAATTTAATCTGCTTAATAATAGCTCAGAAAAACCAGATCCAGTTCCTCCACTTATTGAAGTTGTAATTACAAATTAATCTAATCGATCCATCATTTCTACTTATTATCTAATAAAATCTAATCCTTTGTCAACAATCTCTCTTCCTAAAGTATAAGTACCTCGAGCATAAACGTTTGATGCATCCTCTTATCCATATAAAAATGAATTCTTTTTAAATTATACTTATTTATTCCTTTGTACTTCATGTATCATTCTGTCATCTAAATCAGCAAATAATGCTAATGGATGATGATGGTCATCAATTTATTAATAAATATAATTCTTTTAAGTAGTTTCATTATGCTCCTTTTCATAAAGTTTCCATAACATATCACCAATCATTACACCAGCACCTCCAATATGAATATGAAATGCGGAAGACATTCAAAAAAACAATAATTATTTAAATAGTAAAGTAATTATCTTAAATTAAATGAAACTTAAATGCAAAATTTCTCATTAAATATTATTTTTATTATATAATACAGCTATAAATCTTGATTAAAAGAACGCTATATATTCTATATGAGATTTTTTTATTTAATAAGAAGATATAATTTCTTTTATTAATTAAATAAAATATTTTTAATGTAATATCGTTCTTTATAATAGTAAGAAATTATTGACATATTTGATTCTTTATATACTTATTTTAGAATCAAAAAATAAAAATTAAATATACATAAATTATTCATTTATTAAATTAAATTAATTTAAATATATTTTTAATAAATATTAATTATTTGATTATTAGTTTATNTAATTAGATGAATTACATTAAAAAATTCTTGGGCTTTAGTTAAAGTAATGGTCTAAATTCTAAATTGTTAAATCAAATTTGCCATAAAAATGATTAACTTCTTTTTATCTGAATAATAAGGTTGTAGAAAGATGTCTAGGATTTTGAGGACATTGATAAAGTTTTAACTCTTTTTTAGTGAGATATTTAATGAATTAGCTTTGATCTAATTCTTTTCTATTGTAATCATTTATTAAAGTCATTTTACCAAAAGACGGTATAAAATAATGCATTTAAGGATAGGGACACATATTTGAAAAAAACTTGGAATTATCACTAGAATTAAATCTTCTTAATCCAGTATATTAACTAATAATTTATGCAACCAAGTTATTTATATGTGAATAATCAACAAAATCTAAATCTAGTTGATGATCAATAACATTATACATTGACTAATTGTCAAACATTGTGATACTTTAAAAATATTCTCTTGTCATTTAAATTGAAAACATAGCATTATAAACTCCAAGTATATTATTTGACATCTCTGAAGATGGGAATATTATAAATCCATTTTTTTTTACTTTATCTCCATAATCACAATTTAATCTGCTTAATAATAGCTCAGAAAAACCAGATCCAGTTCCTCCACTTATTGAAGTTGTAATTACAAATTAATCTAATCGATCCATCATTTCTACTTATTATCTAATAAAATCTAATCCTTTGTCAACAATCTCTCTTCCTAAAGTATAAGTACCTCGAGCATAAACGTTTGATGCATCCTCTTATCCATATAAAAATGAATTCTTTTTAAATTATACTTATTTATTCCTTTGTACTTCATGTATCATTCTGTCATCTAAATCAGCAAATAATGCTAATGGATGATGATGGTCATCAATTTATTAATAAATATAATTCTTTTAAGTAGTTTCATTATGCTCCTTTTCATAAAGTTTCCATAACATATCACCAATCATTACACCAGCACCTCCAATATGAATATGAAATGCGGAAGACATTCAAAAAAACAATAATTATTTAAATAGTAAAGTAATTATCTTAAATTAAATGAAACTTAAATGCAAAATTTCTCATTAAATATTATTTTTATTATATAATACAGCTATAAATCTTGATTAAAAGAACGCTATATATTCTATATGAGATTTTTTTATTTAATAAGAAGATATAATTTCTTTTATTAATTAAATAAAATATTTTTAATGTAATATCGTTCTTTATAATAGTAAGAAATTATTGACATATTTGATTCTTTATATACTTATTTTAGAATCAAAAAATAAAAATTAAATATACATAAATTATTCATTTATTAAATTAAATTAATTTAAATATATTTTTAATAAATATTAATTATTTGATTATTAGTTTATTTTCTACTAAAATCATAGTATAGTAAAATAATTGTATAATACATAGTATAGTAATAGTATTTTATTTAAGATCTGCTAATTTATTGTTTTTTTATTTTTAAGAAAATTATGGCAAAATCAGACCTTTTATAAATGAAATTAATTCATGTATTATAATCCTAAAATTATACTCTGCAATAAACTTAAAAGCTTCTCTAAACTATAAATTTCGCTCTTATTTATGAGCTAATCTTTTAAAAAAATTATTTCAAAATTAATTTTGTACCAATTTTAATTATTTTAGAATGTTAGAGAATGATGTCAAAATTTTTTATCCTGAATAATTTGCTCACATTTATTCTTTTCATTTTTTTTACCTACACAGAATGGCATATATCCTGCAAATAATTTTTCAATAACATGATTAAATTAAAGCTTTTAAAAGTCATCCTATAAAACTAATTATTAAATTGCCATCTCATTAATAGTAGCTATTTTCATTTTAAAAAATAGAAGCAAATTAACATTTCAAAATCACAGATGGTGAATACTATAAAGCGATTTTATATCCAAACTTTTAAATCTTTCTAAAATTATCAATATTTCTTCTTCCAAATTAACTATCAAGAAATGTTTCTTCCAAATTAACTATCAAGAAATGTTAATTTATTTGATTCTGTTAGCAATTACTCACAAAATTTCTTATTTTCAAAATTAAATTAAAAATACTTTTTTATTTCGATTTACCAAAATACCTATTGGCTAGGGAGAAAAGGGTTCGTTAATCTCAATATTCAATTTTATTATGGGTTTGTATTTTTTTGATCTAAAAGCTCTATCTCTGGATGATGGCACTAAAGACTTTATAAATCTGCTAAAATTGAATGGAAAAATTTGAGAATGTTTGACCATAGACTATAGAAGATTGATTAAACCTTCATTATGTAAATATTTTAGGTTTAACTTTAATCCTGTTTATAATATTAAGAAATAGATCATCTAATGTAGATTTATTTATATTAAATTTTGAATTTTATCCTTTATCTCACATTTTTTTAAAGAGGATTGTAAAGATTATTTATAAAAAGAGATTAAATTATTTTTAGAAAGATAATCCTTCTTATTGAAAAACTTTATCTATTTTGTGGTGTTATCTTATTTTATTTCGTATTATTAATAGGAGTTATTTGATTATAAATTAAATAATAATGATCTATTTGATTATTATAGTATCGCACTTAATACCATAATAAGTAATAGAATAACTTTAATAAAAACTATATATGCCATTTTGGAGTTTAATAAGAAGTCTAATGATATAAATGAATCATAAATAAAGTTCTGTAATAATTGAACGAAATCTTGCATATTCACAAGTCTTAGGAAAATCTGAACATATTGGAACATACTTATTATTATAAAGCACTTTAACTAAAGGCCCATTATTTATGTTATTGTAAAGTTCAAACTTCAAATTTGAAAAAAATTCTACATAATATTCAATATATTAAATATAAATACGTTAGTCATACACTTATTGTATTTAATTTTCTTTTATAAATTAATATCAGCCTAACATTAAGCACTCGTTAATTTAAGTTTGATAATAAACAATCAAGTGTAGTATCATGTGCAGATGGTCCAAAATATTTAAAGTATTAACTTCCTTTAAAGCAGAGTCAAAATTTTCAATTAATCTTTAAAAATAAGGAGTTTATTAAATTTTCACTTAACTAATTGAATAACGTATCATTTGTAATAAGTTTAAAATCTTTCAAGAGATTATGCTAAGTTTGCTAAATCATCAAGTTTTTATAGAGTCTTAGCTTTCAGATTTGATGGCAATGGATTTCCATTGTATAATATAATTATTAAGATTGTATATATTACAAATAAATGTATCCTTCCAATATGATAACTCTATAATATCATTAACCGTAAATTTTCATTATAAATTTAATTATGTATTAAAGTAATCATAAATTGTGCAGTTGCATCATTCACTTCTTTGTAAAGCTGCATTTCTTTATTTTTTGCATTCTACTTTGTTAATTTTTATGAGGTAATGTATCATCACCTATTTCTTTTAAAATCTAAGCACCCTAATAATTATTGATTCATTTTCTTTCTAAAAATGATGTATGGAAGGACCATCTGGATACATTCTTTATAAATTGCAATATGCACTTGTTAAAGTTCTTAAATATAGATTAAGCTTACCTGTTTTCATTAGAACTTTCTATATAGATCTCATTTTCATTAAACTTGCTAGATAAAAATAATTAATTCTCAATTATGTATCTCTATCTTAACCATTTCCCTAATACATATTATTTTCTCATGTCTGTTGGAGTTAAGACTGTTTCATCTCTTCTAAATTAATCCACTATACAATTCCAATTAAAATGATAATAATTTCTGATTCCATGTCTCCAAACCACTTATACTGATATCAAATCATTTTGAGACGAAAAATGAAAAGACTAATTAATAAATATATATTATTCTATTTTAGAATTTGTTTGCTAAGATTAATTAGTAATAATTATGGTTACCCCCCTTTAATCAATGAATTACATTAAATAATTAAAAGTTTATTTTATTATTTCATATGATTTTAAGATTTTTTATCTTTAAAATAAATTTCTTTTAATATCCATAACAAGATGATATTATTATCGTTTTATTGCACACTAAATGTTTTTAATTTTATTTTTAATAATTTATGGTCCATAAAAGCAATTTTGTAAATTTTNATTTATGTTATTGTAAAGTTCAAACTTCAAATTTGAAAAAAATTCTACATAATAGTCAATATATTAAATATAAATACGTTAGTCGTAGTATCATGTGCAGATGGTCCAAAATATTTAAAGTATTAACTTCCTTTAAAGCAGAGTCAAAATTTTCAATTAATCTTTAAAAATAAGGAGTTTATTAAATTTTCACTTAACTAATTGAATAACGTATCATTTGTAATAAGTTTAAAATCTTTCAAGAGATTATGCTAAGTTTGCTAAATCATCAAGTTTTTATAGAGTCTTAGCTTTCAGATTTGATGGCAATGGATTTCCATTGTATAATATAATTATTAAGATTGTATATATTACAAATAAATGTATCCTTCCAATATGATAACTCTATAATATCATTAACCGTAAATTTTCATTATAAATTTAATTATGTATTAAAGTAATCATAAATTGTGCAGTTGCATCATTCACTTCTTTGTAAAGCTGCATTTCTTTATTTTTTGCATTCTACTTTGTTAATTTTTATGAGGTAATGTATCATCACCTATTTCTTTTAAAATCTAAGCACCCTAATAATTATTGATTCATTTTCTTTCTAAAAATGATGTATGGAAGGACCATCTGGATACATTCTTTATAAATTGCAATATGCACTTGTTAAAGTTCTTAAATATAGATTAAGCTTACCTGTTTTCATTAGAACTTTCTATATAGATCTCATTTTCATTAAACTTGCTAGATAAAAATAATTAATTCTCAATTATGTATCTCTATCTTAACCATTTCCCTAATACATATTATTTTCTCATGTCTGTTGGAGTTAAGACTGTTTCATCTCTTCTAAATTAATCCACTATACAATTCCAATTAAAATGATAATAATTTCTGATTCCATGTCTCCAAACCACTTATACTGATATCAAATCATTTTGAGACGAAAAATGAAAAGACTAATTAATAAATATATATTATTCTATTTTAGAATTTGTTTGCTAAGATTAATTAGTAATAATTATGGTTACCCCCCTTTAATCAATGAATTACATTAAATAATTAAAAGTTTATTTTATTATTTCATATGATTTTAAGATTTTTTATCTTTAAAATAAATTTCTTTTAATATCCATAACAAGATGATATTATTATCGTTTTATTGCACACTAAATGTTTTTAATTTTATTTTTAATAATTTATGGTCCATAAAAGCAATTTTGTAAATTTTAAACTTAAAATTCTTTTACTTTTTTAAATCGGATTGATCAATATTATATTATTTAGATAAAATAAACTTAATTAAATTTTAATGTTTTTAATTTACTATTTGGATTATTTTATTTTAATTTTTCAGAAATTATTATTTTGGAAATACCTTTTATTCATCCATTAAAATAATAAATAAATTTAATAAAAATAAATTAACCTTATTGATATTTATTGTGTTGCTATATTTTATAAAATTAAAATTTATTTCTAGGGTTATTAAGTTTTAATATATATTTTGTATCAACAATTAGATTTTAAGATCTAATCCTAGAATTACACCAATAACTCAAATATTACTATTTTTCTATAATTTTTCACTCAAAACAAAAAATTGAATTTTAGTTAATGAGAAAAATAAAGAAAATAGAATAAAATAAAGTTCTTGATAAAAAATTCTATATTTGATAAGGTTTTCTTGAACAATTCATAATACTTACATTATTATACTTTTTTTTAATTAAAATCAAATTGTTAATTATAAATAAACTCTAAAGAAATTTTTGATGTATCTAGAAATTTATATTTATTATACAAATAATAAATATTATTTAAATTTAAGATGATGAAAAATTTACAGAAAAATAAGCTTTATATAAATTGATTATTGATTGGAATGATTATTAATTGATGGAGTAACATTTATACACCCTTACATGCAAGTAATCAAAGATTTAATCATAGGGATTATGCATGTTTATAGGTGAATCAATTTGTTTAATGTTTTATGTCCTATTTAATATGAAAGCTGAATAAGATCCAAATAAATAGACTGGAGGGTTTAAAAGATTAGCAATTCCAGCATTTTTTGATGTTATTACATCATCTTTGTAGAATGTAGCTTTGAATTTTATTCCATCATCTATTTTTTAAATGATTAGAGGAGGAGTATTAATATTACAAACATCTAGCTTATAATAGTAACTGCAGCATTTTCAAAGTTCATACTCCAGAAAAAATTATCATTACAATAATTAATTGGGATTCTTTTGGCTATTTTAGGTATATTCATTGTTGGATTATCCAATTTTATATTTAGAGAATAATCAAAAAGTGATTTTAGTTGGGAAATCAAACTAATTTCGATTTTCTTAATCATTTTATCTTTATTTACTTAAGCCATTTCATATATTTTAATAATTCAACTATCATGTATTCTATGTTGTTGATATGGAAGGAATATGGGGATTATTAACTTATGGAATATTGATACCAATTCTAAATTTTCTTCCTTGTAATTTTCATGATGGATGTGTATTTAGAAATAATAAAGGCTATTTTGAAAGCACCGATCTATTCTTTTAATAATTAGGAAGTGATCTTTGGTTAACATTGTCTGTAATATTGGGTATTTTTAGCATTTCATTATATAAAATATTTGGTGTTAATGTCACTAAGCATGCTTCATCCTTAACTAGAAGTGTTGTAGATACAATTAGAATAATTTTTATTTGGGTTATTGGACTTATAGTCACTGCTATTTGGCTAATTTAATAGAATTAATTGGATTTGCTATTTTAGTCATAGGAAATCTAATTTATAAAGAAATTCTTATTATTAAAAATCTTTAATCTAAAAATTAAGTGTTACTTGAAGAAAAATGAAAATTTTGATAATTTCTAATTAATTAAGTTCATATCGGTTAATTTTATATTATTTAATACATTATTGTCTCTTTTTTAAGCTTTTACATTCTTGAGATAATTATCAAAATAAAAAATATTCATTTAGTAACAATTTATTATGTTATTGCCTATCCTCCCCTTATAATAATTATATCTAAATAATTTTATATACATTTATGTTGTCTCAATTATTATTCCTCCTTATGAACTATTTGAAATATTGTTAAATATAAATTTATTTATCATATTTCTAATTGCATCAGAATTTTATATAAAACCCAATTCAAACTTTTATGCTAAAAAGAATGAGAAAGATCGATAAAAAACATTTCTTAAAGATAAAAAAATTATGATGGTTATTCTAGGAGTATCTGATTAGATTCTAATATAAAAATAATTTAATGTTGATTTTTGAAGAGTTTTCTAAATTTTTGTGTGTCATTTTAATATAATATATTGTTTCTATCTAAGTATTATAAACCAATTCTAAAAAATTCAAAAATATATATTTATATTATAAGGTAAATAAAAATAATAAATTTGAATAAAAAACAACAGTTGGTATTTAAAAATGAAAATATGAAAAATAGAAATAGGATTTGATAAGTATATTTATAAATAATTGTTTATTTCTTTATTTGCTAAAAATATTTGAGATAAATATTCATATTGAATGAATAAATCTAAATTTATCCTAATCAGACATGCCGAATCTGAATATAACCTTGCTGCTAGGTTGGCTGTAAATTCATCAAAGGAAGTGACAAATTTTAAAGAGGAATCACTAAAAATCAAATAAGATGAGAGTCTTATTGATTGTGGATTAACATAATATGGTATTCAATAATGCTTAGAATCTGCTTAAAAAATGTCTTCATTTAATGTCGACATTGTACTTGTCTCTCCATTAAGAAGAGCAATATAGACGGCACACTATTTATTTAGAGATCATCCCAATAAGCCTAAATTTATAGTTGTTCCATTTTTAAGAGAAATGTTATCATCTTCTTGTGATATAGGAGGTAATTTGACAACAACGATGAATGAATTTCCTTAATTTGATTACAGCAGGATATTGAATACAGAGTTTTTATAATAATATCCTAATATGTGGACTATGGAATATCTTTGGAATCAAGAATAAAAATAATAAATGAAGCAATATTTATTATAATAATAATGTGATGATTTAAGTATTATCAACTTAATAATATTTAGACTCAAGAGGACCTAAACATATTTTAGATTATTTATTTTAGTACCCACCTGATTCGGTTGTTGAGACCTTTATGGACACAATGAATAGGATTAAATAAGCAAAATAAGAATTGTCATTTTATAGAAACTAAAATGTGATATGTGTGACACATTCTAGATTTTTATAAACTATTTCAGCTCAATAATTTGATGCCGAAGGTAAGCCAAAAGATGGAACCTGGATCAAAAATTGTGATTACATTGAAGTTGATATTTGACTTCATTTTAAAATTAATTTTAATATTTAACATTTTTTGATAAGACTATGCAATAAAAGAATTCAATATAAATACATGTTGAAGACACTAATGCAGAAGCTACTGCAGCAAAAATGTACTAATAGTCAATATAATAGTTCTGCAATTAAGCACAAATACTTCTAAGATGAATTTTCTGAGGAATTAGTAAAAGGCTCATCTAAAAAAGATGTCTTAATCCACAGAGGTTACTGGTGCAGATTTAATATTTTTCATAGAATAGTTTCAACCTATATCAGCAAATAATAAAAATGCAATATAATATCATTGGGATCTGGTTACGATACTCTTCCATTTATAATGTGGTAAACCTATCAGAATAATGAATTTACATATGTTGAAGTAGATTTACCTGTTGTAGTTGATAGAAAAATAAATAAGCTTAAAGAATCTAATAAATTGAAAACATTATTGGGAGAATATATTATATCATAAAATAAATTATCTGCAAAATCATTATATAAGAATTATTTATTATTTGGAGAAGATTTATGTAATACTGAGCAATTATATTAATAATTAAAATCAATCGATTTTACTATTCCAACCTTAGTTTATGCAGAATGCGTATTAACATATATCAACAGTGAGTCTACAAATAGATTATTGGATGGATTAACTAAATGGTTTCCACACCTAACATTTTTGAATTATGAAATGTTTAATCCAAATGATCAATTTGGCAAAATGATGGTGCAAAATTTTGAAGTAAATATATCTTTAATTTTAAGTACAGAGGATGTCCATTAGTTGGAATTGATGCATTCCCCTCTTTATAGGCTCATAAAGATAGATTAAATACATGGTTTAATTATGTTGAAATTTACGATATGAAAACGTTGTATCAAATCGCTACAGATTCTGAAGAAAGAAAAAGAATAGAAAAATTAGAATTAATGGACGAATGGGAAGAATGGAATATTATGTAAAGTCATTATTTAGTATCCCTTGCTAATAAAGATCAAGCTGAATTAATTGTAAACTTAAAAATATGATTGATAAATTAATATATATAAGTATATTAATCCTGTTATAAATTTAAATCCTGTTCGTTATATATATATCCACATTAAGGTTTTAGTATTTAAAAATGATAATGGGCTTTTAATTTAAGAGATTTTTAGATTTGAGCACATGATAATTTCATGATAATACTATCGAAGAATCATTTAATTTACTTTTTCCTTATTTTTTTAAAGAATTCTATTCCAAAAATAAAGTAATTCTAAATAAAAATATTGTAATTTAAAATTCACTTATATATGATTAAAATAAATTAAAATAATTAAAGTTATTATAATTAAAACAATAAAGAATATCTAATTATAATGGTAGACTTATAATAAACGCAACTATCAATACTAAAAACTAATAATAATAAGTTAATAAAATTAATACTATATGTAATTTAGAATAAAATATAAACCTATTTCTAATTAATCGATAATTTCAAATTTTAAGATGTACTTTTATAATAAACACTATGTAATCAACATCCTTTAAATTCATCCGAAAATTTGTTTAAAAATTCATCCAAATTCATCTATATATATATTAAATAATGATGGTAGGAGAACATTACAATACTCCATTCTCATGCCATACTTTTCTCTTTTGTTTAACGGTTCAATATAATGTAATTAGTAATGCAGGGCTATCAAAGATTCTACTTCATTATCATTAAGTATTCTTTTATTTTGATGTATTTCATATAATTTTTTCTATCAAATGTGTTATAAGCATTTGAAAACTATGAATTTTAATCTAATTTATCTATATATTCTTATAAATTTGTTGCAAATCTCAATTCAAGAAATATGAAAGAAGAATCATAAAAACAATTAGTCTGAATTAATTAAAATTTGGTATGTATTTAATATATTTAATAAAATTTTTTAAATTCTAAATTTCATAATATAGAAATATCATATACATCCAATAATATTTAAATGATATTTTATTAGGACTACAAGGGTATTTTTTTTCCCTTGAGCATTTTGGATTCGTCGATTAATATGTAAAAGGAAACCCATTTGAATCAAATATCTAAAGCTATTCCTTAATATAATATAATAATTGTTAGCAATACATTACCTTCAATACTTTTAAGTTGTTCAGAAAATATCTTATATTTCTTTATCTAGTTTATCTGAAAGTTAGTCCACTTTCTTTATGTATTTTTTTGAAGGTTTGTAATGAGACTTTTTGCTCATTAAATTAGAATTCCTCTAAAATATATTTAATATTATGTAAGTCCTTTTAATGAAGATGGATATTCTTTTGTAAATCTATTTTCAGTCAGTTTTTAATAAGCTAACAAATTTTTTTAGTTAACCAATCATTTTCCTTTAAAAAATGTATTATTTTTTATAGTACTCATATTAAGGTAGTACACTTTTAGAGGCCAATTGGATAATTGTATCCTTAAATCTTTATATGTAGGACTTGTGCTGCAAAAGTATTACTTACCAAAATTTAAATTTGCCTTTATTACAAGTGAGTATTAATTAAAAATTGCTTTAATGAAAGTCTTTACATGTCAATCTAAAGAAATCAAAATAGTATAATTAAACAATCCACAAAAATAAATTTATATAGAGAGCTGCATTAAATAGTTGGTTAGGAAATAGCCTTAGGTTTACATCACAAAAGCAACAAGAATGAGAATTATTAATTTATGTGGTCTATTTTTTATCCCAAAATCATTCGTATTAAAGGGTTTAATTCATAAATTTTTAGATGATTTCGTACATTTGAGCGACGCATAGAAAAAAAAAATAAAGTAAAATTAAAGATTAAATTCAAAAAATATTAACATAAATAAGTGAAGAAACCAAAGAGCAAACAGATTTATATGGAAAGCTCTAATAATTAAAATTATTTTTGAACGAAATTAATTAAATTGAAGTAGGAGGATAAGAGAATAATGACAATTTATTGTAAATCTAACATAATTTTGAAATATAAGAAGAGATTCATAGTAATGAGTGAGATTGAAATAGAATTATGATAATAAATGAAATGTATCCAAAAAAAATATTCAATATAAAATAAAAAATTATTTTAATTAATTCTATTCTAATGCTAATTTGGAATAATTTAAGATGAGTTGATATTTAAATTTAAGAAATTACCTGTTTAAATTTCTTGACAATTACATTATATAATTGCATCTCAAAAATGCAAGAGCCAACAAATAGGAATTAGAAGAATCTTATTTGGATGCTTTACCTTTTGATTTAAAGATTTGCTTTTGATTTCTTTGAATTAGTGAAGTAATTATGGTTTTAGAAATGTGAATTCAAATTAAATTAACATTTTTTGTAAGTTCATTGAATTATCAAATAATTGAATGTTAGATTTAAAACATAAAGAACAAAATATTAAAATATAATAAATATCCAAGTCATCATGAACAAATAAAAAAGAAAAATAAAAGATAATTTTAAGTTTAAATTAATAGTAAAAACTAAATAATAGTCTATTTTAAAATATAATATTAATTTTTTTATTTTATATTAAAATATTTATTGAAATAGATAATATTATTTTAATAAAAAGTTCATATTTTTTATTATTCAAAATTTCCCAAAAATTCAGAATATTTTTTTTAAAATCAAATCTTATTTAAATTTTAATCCCAATATTATAATTTATACTTTAATGAAATAATAAATTTATTCATAAAATTATTTATTTTCATAAAAAAATTAATCTAGATCAAGCAAAATTTTTAGACATAAAAATCAACACATAATTATTTTTTATTAAATATCTTCATTCATAATCATGTTCATTATACATAAATATATTATATATATTTACTTCAAAAATGTCTTATTAATTTAAGAATTCTAAATGGCAAGCTAGAAAAAAAGAGTTAAAATCAAGACGCCAATCATAATCAAGAAAATTTAATAATGCTTAAATTTAAATTATTAATTCAGCATTTAATTGTAAAAATAATTATATTTCAGATCTCTCAATTGAAGCGCCACCATCACTTAAACCAGCTAAGAAATATTGTGATATAACGGGATTTGAAGTAATTATAATTAGATGTTTTAGGCAAAATATAAAGATCCAATCACTCAATTATCATATTGCGATTCAATAGTTTTCAATTATATAAGAAATTGTCCTAAGGCAAGTGCAGAGACTTATTTAAATATTAGAGTGTTTACTTAAAAATTAATTTCTTGATAAAATTTGAGATATTCATATATTAGAAAGTATAATTTGATTTTTTGGTTTGAAAATAAACCTGATATAGTTCATCTTTTGCATTTTCCAAATGAATAAGAAGGTGTTTAAGGTTTTTCTTCAATCTTGTAAATTGGTCCAGGAATTCCTCGTTTTTGTTTTGTGAAATCATACCTTTCACCTTTAGGGAAAAGATATTGAGGTGATGAACTCTTTTTTTCTGGATTATATATTCCTGGGCCAGGCCTTGAATGAATTTCTTTTGTAATTGGGTCATAGGAACTTCCTTTGAAGACTATACCTTAAGTTTCAATTATTTTCGATTAATATTCATATTTTCCAGGTAAAGGAGCAGAAGTAGGAATAGCTAATGGCGGTCTTATGGACGTTCCAATTTTAACAGATGTTGCTGATATTTTTTTTGGCTCAAAACTGCCAGGTCCTAAATTAGAATTTTATTTAGAAATTAGAGGCTATCTTTAGGAAGCAGAAAAACTGGGGATATTTTAAATTATACTTAATTCTATTGTTTCTTTTTGGCTTGGATGGATTGTATGTTCCAGGACCTGGTTGTGGATTAAATTGAATATTAGTAGCTGCAGTAGGATAAGCTATGTTAAATGATTAAACAGTTAATGAAGGAATAGGTTTGGTAGGGATTTTCATCATACTTTACATTAATCTATCAAATAAAGGTCTTGTTTAAACTTTCGAAATGGAGTTTTGAATATGTCAATTTAAGGATTATTCATTTTTTTAATTTATATTATAAATTGAACATGAATTTTATTTTGTATTAATGTAATATCATTAGGTCAATTCATGTTAGTCTTGTAGGATATCTACTATTAGATTTGTAGCTTCATATCTGAATTAAACAACACTAGTTTTATCATCTGGATAAACTCTATTAGTTAAAATAACAACAATGAGATCTTTATCTCTATCAGCCCATACAGATGTTCCTGTATATCCAGTGTGTCCAAATGAATTTTTAGAGAATTTACTACCACATGGTGGGTATGTCTAAATTGGAACAGTATCCCAACCTAATGCTCTGCTATTTGCATAAGGTAAGCCTTCTTCAACTTTAGTCCAATATTGTAATGTTTCATATTTAAACAATGAGGTCTTTCCTAACATCATCTACATAAATTTGATAAGATCATAGACAGTTGAAAACAATCCTGCATTACCAGATACTCCTCCTAGATAATATGCAGTTGGATCATGTACTTCTCCCCATATCAATCTTTTTCTAACAACTTCATCTCTTTAAGTTGGAGGTATACGATATCTAATTTAATCATTTTCTAATACTTTAAATCAGCAGAAGGATTGAACATAGTTGATTGCATTCCTAGAGGTTTGAAAATATTCTCATCTAAATAGACATCCAAAGTAGTTCCAGTAATTCTTTCGATTACTTATTGCAATGTAACCATACTCAGATCACTATAGATATATTTTTCACCAGGTGCTTATAACAAAGTACTTTTAGTGTATAACCAGTCCAATACTTCTTCCTTTGTCCATATTCTATTTCCTAAAGGTGCATCAGGTGGCAAACCTGAATTATGTAATAATAGATGTCTTATTCTAACTGTGGGATGAGGAAATTCTGGTAAATAATATTGAACTGATTCTTCGATATTTAATTTGCCTAATGATTAATTAATCTATAACCTTATTCCCAAAGCAACATTGCAGCTGTAGTGCACCCAACAACTTTACTTACACTTGCTAAATCAAAAATTGATGTTTTCAAAAGAGCTTAGTCTTCTGGATCACCTGGATATTCAGTTCTTCCATATTTAAAAGTATATTGATAATTTCCATCTTATATACCAATAACTGCTCCTGGAAATCTTTTCTAATATATTTATAATTCCACATAATTATCAAGAGCAGTAAAATCTTACCCTAATACCAAATTTGCCATTAGCAACATCAATCCTATTGAATACATTAATTTTTAATATGTCATATTTAATGTAAATATAAAAATTAAACATAGAAGAGAATTTATTTAAAAAATATTATTCTTTCTTTCCAAAAATATATGATAAAATTAACAAAAGAAATTTATAAATATTTATATGATCAGCAAAAATAAACATATAATTTCCTCTCTTTATATTAATGTTATTACATATCTCCTAAAATCTTATTTGAAATTCAATAATTATGAAATTGAGTCGAGTGATAAATATTATCTGTAAATAAATACCTGTTGATAAATTTAAAGTTCAATTTTCTTGTTTTTCTTAAAAAAATCGATTATATAAAGAATAGGTCTTATACTTTTCAATAAAAGTTTTATTTGTTACTCATTAGAAAATTTATATGTTTAATTATTTTTAGTTATCAAATGATTTTTATAGTCATAGAATGCAATAAATAACAATGTTAAAATTCAGAATTTTAAATATAATATTAATCAAGAGGGAGTAATCTTATCTAATTAGCATATCATAACTATCACTAAAAATGTAAATACTTTTTGTTACTAAAGTTAATTTAATTTACTTTAATAGAGTAATTCAATGGATTATCCATTTTTACCTAAAAAATGAATCATATAAATTAATGGAAAATTAAATATGAAAAATATAGATCAATATATTTTTTTAGGTTTATTTCTTTCAATAAATATTAGCTCTTCTAATGCTTCTTTCCTCTATTTTTCAACAAATATATCTAAACGGCTTTTCTATGGCTATCTCAACTTTCTATAAAATTTAATTATTCATTTATACTTATCAACATCTTTATAATTTTGAATTAATGAATCGCATTCATTTATGCATTTATTAACTTCTCTTTTAATTTCATTATTAATACTGTACTTTCTAAAGTTGCTATTGATTCTATTACTAATATTATTACGTTATACAAATTTTTTGTACTACTACTGGTACTTTAACTGTTATGATGATATTGTTTAATTGGAGAATATTGGATAGGCTCAAAATTAAAATTAGAAGCAAATCTATTTCTGATAGGTTCAATTGATTGATTCACAATTTAAGATTAAGATAATGATTTTTGTTGTGGGGACTAAACAATTTATTTGTTTTTATTTTTGTATTTAGATTTACCCATTAAAGCTTTAAGTCCCAATTATTCTATAATCACACTTGCATTTTATGGGGCTAACATATATAAAATAATTTTATACATTATATAGATTCTTCTATCTATCTGTTATCTATTGATTATTATTTTGATAAATCGAGTCTATTTATTGATTAGATTTACATTTATTTATTTTATTTTTTTTTCATCTCTTCTAAAATTTTATCACATTACTTTTTCATCTTCTTTGTCCAAATTTCAGCAATGGACATACTCCCTTATGGTCTACGTTATTAAATATTGTCTCTTTTTTTTATAGTTCTATCTTCAATTGAATAATTTCTTTTGATTAAATATTTATACGGATCATCTATGCTAATTATATAATGAAAATAGTTACTTTTATTAGATTTCTTATCCAATATTGTTTATTAGCTTATTCAACTAATCTTCCTTATTCTTTTCAATTAGTTTTACTCTCCTAATATCATTACTCAATGATTAATATTTCATTTTTAATATATTATATATTTTTAACTATTTAAGTTCATTGTTTAAGAACTATATAATATTTAATTTAATAATCAATGTCTATAACACTTTATTTTAATCCTTATTCTCATAGATGTTTATCTGTTAAGACAGTCTTATTGTTAACTAAGTCTGATTTCAATGAAAAAATTATAGATGTTTTAAAGGGAGAAAATCTCAAGCAGGCTTTTACTAATATCAATCCTAATCAAACCGTCCCTGCAATTACTGAAGGATTTTTCAGTTTATTTGAAAGCCATGCTATAATGAAATACATTTGTATAAATAAACCCGATTTCAAATTATATCCTAATGTAAAAAATATTATTATTATAAGACATTATAACAAAGAGCTTTAATAGATTCGTATTTAGATTGGCATTAAAATGAATTTACTAAACTTTTAGATTATTCTAAAGAATGTTATTTGTAACCATTATTGATAGGAAACAAAGTTCCTGAAAATAGAGTTTCAAGATTAGTAGATGTAGAAGAAGTTATACAGTTTTTTATCAAAACATTCTTAAACAATGGACAATATAATTATATTTTTGATTAACCCAACTTTACTCTTGCAGATATTAGGTAATCAATTTTATAATTTTGAAGAGCAGTCTGTGATTTGACTTCATTATTTATTTGCAATTTTGATTTTGAGAAGTTTCCCATATTAGAACAATATATTTGGAGAATGTTTAAAATTACAGATTTATATCAATCACATAAGGATTATTTTAATTTAATATAGAAATAAAAATATAAAAATCAGTTCATTTAATCAATATTGACTAAATAACTTAAATAAGAACAAATTACTCTATATTTTCATCCACTTTCATCGCCATCAAGAGCTGTAAGATCATTATTATTATTGGCTTAAATCGATTTTGATGAAAAAGTTATAGACATTCTGAAATCCGAAAACAAATCTGATCAATATACTAACATTAATCCCAATCAAACAGTTCCCTCAATTAAATAAGGCACATTTACACTTTTTGAAAGTCATGCTATTTTAAAATACATTTGCGAATAATATAGGCTATTTGACTTTTATCCTTAAGAGAATTTAAGACTTAAGGCATTAATTGATAATTATCTTGATTTTCATCTGAATGAAATGAAATAAATCACAGATTATGTTCTGAATTCATAAAAGATTTAGAATGAACAAGAATTAAAAGAAAAATAACTAAATATAGATAATTTGTTATAATTTTTTGTTAAAATCTTTCTAAATGAAGGAAAATATAAATACATCTATAATCATAAAACTATTTCAATTGCAGATTTGAGGTACTAATTTATCTAATTATTTTAGTGCTGTTAATGAAATTTTATTTTTAGTTATGATAAATTATGATTTTAATAAGGTACCTCAAATCTAAAAATATATAACCAATATTTTAGATAATGAGTATGTGAAGTAGTCTAATAAAGAATATTTATCAACAATAAGCAGTAATTAACATAATAATTTTAATTAATTTAATAAGTAAATAATAACAACTTAAAAAAAGAGAGGATGTTGTTGATTCTATTATAATCATTTAATTTTTTATTTATTAATTAAATGGAATAATTTATCGTATTCTAATTATTTTATTGACAGACATCAATCCATTACTGGCTTATGTCTAATATTATCAATACTCACTGCAATTAGCATTATCTATTAAAAAAAAAAAATGTTGCCATTTTGAAGCAGAAGAATAATTTTTTGTATTTCTATTTATTTTTTTATTTATTAGATAAAATTTATTTAAAAAAATTAAATTCTAATTTCAAGACAAGTTACCAATTTCAATCATATATTATAAATATATATAGTGTAAAATTAAATTAAAATAATAGAAAACTAAATAAGAGAATAAAATTTATGATTTTATATATATTGTATTTTCAGGTTGTTTATTAAAAAATAATAATCTCTAAATTAACATTATATTTAATGATTTTGTTTCCTTATAATGAATAAGATTATTGTATCAAATACTTATAAGTGCTTTACAACATAAATCAATGTATATAGTGCAATTTATTTATAATATATTTGTTTATGTAAAATATATTAAAAGAATAATTTATTTACATGCTTAAGATTTCAAAATGTCTTGATAGATGTTAAGATCATATTTAAATTCAATTTTTTTGTAAAAATTTTGGTAAAAAATAAAAATATGAAAAAAAAGCAAAAAGCAAAAAGCAAAATAGAAATTTTAAGATTGATATTGCCATGAGAATTAATAGATTATACAAAAAAATTGGAAAAGCTAGAGATTGAAATAGAAGAAATTTAATTAAATGAATTAATAAGTAACTGGAAGAAAAAGTATTTATGATGGAAAACTAGAAAAATTTCTGTCTTAGAAAAAAATAACTCACATCAAATCAAGATTTACAGTAAAAGCCGATATGCACCGGTAGATTCCAGATAAATTTTAATAACAATAAATTACTATTAGCAAAGCCTAATCATTAAAATAGTTCAATAATGGTTTGCAGTATATGAGTTTTTTTAAGAAAGTAAAATACCAGTTTGGATATTGGGTTTCAAAGAAAGTCTTAAAGTTTAGTTAATATTAGATAACGATTACATAAATTGAATGAAACGGAAATAAAAATTTCAAATAACTAGAACCTTATATTGATATTTAGATAGGTCAAATAGAACAAAAGAAAAAAATAATACCATAAGTTGACATATTAATAATGAAGCTTTAACATTAAAAATAAAAAAAATAATAGAAGAAATAAAAAAATTTAAATTAAATAGAAAAAGTAATATTTTCAAAGAAATTTTATAAGGAGTGAGTTTAATTGTTCGAACTATCAATAATTATTAAATTTCTTAATGTGAAATAACAATTAGAAAAATTTGAAATTGAAAAATAATAAAAAGTAAAAAAATATTGAATAACATCTTAAATTTGTTATAGAATTGAATAAAATAAATAAATATTAGTCGAATTATCTAATACGTGTTAATATTTTAATTTTAAGATAAAAGAATATTATTTATTATGATTTATATATTAAATGTATTAAGATAATTAAGATGAAGATGATAAATTAAAAAATGATATTGAAAAATTTCGAAATATCCTAGATGAAGAAGTAGAAGGAAATCATCGATCTGAATATTTAATTAAATGCAAATAGATGTCAGAAAATATTAAAAAAGAAATATAAAAACGCATAAAAAAAGGTGATGAGAATTAGATTATGAAATTAATGAAATATTATTCACAATAAAATAAGAGATTACAAGAAATGGAATATAATAATGTAGATGAAGATACTAGTTTATTGCATGATAATCATTAAGTTGAAGTATAATTATTTGAAGATAATGTAACATAAAGAAAACAGAGATTATAAAATGTACATAAGAGTATGGAAACAGTCAAAAGCATCTATGAAAAAATACATGAGGTAGCTACCTAATAAGTTGATCAAATGTTCACAATTGAAGACAATTATACTTATGCAGAAAACAAAACTTAAAAAGCATCATAAGAATTAGTTAAAGCTTAATAATCCTTAAAAACCAAAATAGGTTATAGGATTGTAATAATATGCATTTTAATTTTAATTGTTGGATTAATGTTTGTTAAATGATTTTTTATTCGTGTTATATAATATTATTAAATAATATGATTAATAAATATTTTACCATATTTAAATGTTTAAACAAAATCCAATTCTTAATTTATTTTCTGATGATTGTGATATCAGTTCCTTTTTCTGTCAAAATAGATAATTGAATAAATTAAAAATGTAAGATATGGTAAAAAGGACTAACTAAGGGTATGATCAGAAGTTAAAAAGAATCATAATCGATTGTGGAAATAAATGTGGAATTAAAAATTTAAGAGAAAATAAAAATGAAATAACATTTATGAAGATTAGAAATTGTTCTATAATGTGTAAACAGAATGTTAACAATGAATTACACAATATTAAATTAAGAACAAGAAATAAGAGTGTATAACCTTAGAAAATTGATAAACAATTTGATATTGGAGCTTGGACAAAAGAGAGTTGGTCAAGTGTCTGATGAGAGAATAAAATGATAAATGTTTATAGTTAGTTGTTTTTTAATTAAATAATCCGTTTTTGAAATTTCACATTAAAAGTGTCGGAAAAAATAAGAAAAAATATTATTATTACAATGAGACTTGCTTTGTGCTTATTGGTCATTTTAGCCGTTGCCAGCGCTACAACAAAATTCAACTTGGATTACTCCAAGAAGAGATCAATGACAGCAGTTATGGCTGAAGTTGAAGCCAAATTAAAGAACAAATCACCACTCGATGCTATTTTGAACGTATTGAGAGATTTCAGAGATGCTGTTAACACAGAATAAGTTAATCATGATGAAATTTACAATATCTAAGTCACAGAATGTGAATCTGAAGATGCTTTCAGAAGAGCTGAAGTCACTGATGCCAGCAATGTCCTCAGAGATTCAACTGCTGCCTTAAATGTTGCTTAAACCTCAAAAATCAGAGCCACCAACTAATAAGAAGTTAACTAATAATAATACTTCTCAGCTTAAGAACACTTAAACAGTGTTTTGAGTGCTGCAGAAACTGAAGCTGGATATTTCAAGAGAAGAGGAAGAGATTATGAAGATGCTCTCCATGCTATTGATGAAGCATCCGATATCTTAGCCACAATCTACAGTGGATCAGGATCATTTGCTGAAATCAGCAGAGTTTCAAAGAGCATGCTCTAAACAGCCTTCAACATCAAGGAAACTGCCAAATTTGCCCCAGTCTTTTATGCCTTTTCTTAATTGGCTGCCTAAGAAGGATAACTCGATGAATCAGCTCTTGAAAGAGTTGCTTAACTTTTGGAAACCTTGAGAGGTAACATCCAAGAAGCATACAATGATTTCACTGAATCAAACGCTGTTTCAGTTGCTGCTTTCAATGACTAAAAGGATAGAATTGGATAAACCCTTGCTAGACTTGAAGCTTAAAACGAAAGACTTTAAAATAAACTTGATTCATTGAACTAATAAATCGGAACTCAATCAGCTATTGCATAAACTGCCTCAGGAAAACTCTAAAGAAACCAATAACTTTGGGATTAAGCCTAAGCCTTATGCTCAACTTTCGCCAATGAATACAATTATGCCACTTAAGCTAGAAGAAATGAAATCTAATTAGTTGCTTAATTAGAAGAGATGGTTGAAGCCAGATTCAACCAAGTTGAAGATGAAAACCACGAAAGAAACCAAAGACTTGCCAACCAAGCTTGATCTTGTTTTCATTTTCATAAAAAAAATATAAATTTAATAATTCAAATATTTATAACAGCAAAATGAGTATGTAACTCACTCAAAAACCCACTACAATATATTAAGTACGCTAATCTAGTGTTACACCACCTCAGAAATTAAATAACAATCCCAATTATATGAGCTGTTAGAAATTGAGAATGTAAGATAACAATATTGATATCAAAGGAGCATAATAGATCAACTATCACCAATAAAGGATTTAGCAGTTAATCAAAGTTAGAGGAGTTCATTCTATTAAGTAAGAGGATAATCTGGATCTACTGCTACCTTAATGCCAAATAAAACCCAAACTAATAAATTATTAGATTCTACTAGTTTTAATACAACCTTGAATTATACATAAGAAATTAATTTCGATAAAAAAGGTAACACAATACCAAAAGGAATGAAAATAAATAATTTTGAAATTTTAAAGGATTAATTAAGATTTGCTATTTGTTAGTTAGAAGATCTTAAGAAATCATTTGATAAAGTTATTTAGAGTCAATTTGATCAAGTCATTTAAGTAATAAAATCATCTACTTAATTGTCTATTTCATTAATTGATGAAAACACTCAGGTTAGACATTAATTAAATTCATTACAAAGCAATTCTGAATATGATAAGTTGAAATTAATAATGGAATAATTGCAATAAAAAATTACTGTATTAGTTAATGATAATTCAAAATTGAATCATTAAATTAATTATTAACGCGAAGAGAATAAATAACTAATATAATAAATATCAGAATCAGACAGAAGATATTAAGATTTGTTGATGTCTTCATAAAATAAATTAAATAAAGAGAACATGAATCCAAATATTAACCATAATATACATATCAAAACTTATCCAAATTCATCAAATACAAAAAATAATTATACTTAAAGAGAACTTAGTTATAAATTAGAATAATCAGAAATTAAATTATTGACACTTTAAATAAGCAATGACAATCTCAGATAATAAATACAACATACTTAGTTAGATTATTAAACATTTTAATAATTGAAGGAAACTATAGCTTCTTTGGAAATAAAATCAGAAAGCTTTTTGAATTAGAAAGATTCACTACAATAAGAGAATGACCTACTAAATCAAAAAATATAAAGTCTTGAGAAACAATTACAAGACTAATCTCAAAAGGCTGAATATATAATATATATTAACTAATTAGAAACTGATATAAAATAAATTAGATAAGAGAAAAATCAAAATTATTAGACTATTAATTCTCTTAATAACACTGTATCTTAATTAAAGGAATAAATTAGTATATTATCAATACAAAAAGATTAATCAGAAGTATATTCTTATTTAATAATTAGAATACTTATCTTTAATAGGTTTAATCATAATAAAATGAATTATCATAAACAAATTCAAGATACTAATTATTATGGCAGGAAATATCTGAAATGAGAGATAGATTAGAATAAAGACAAATTTAAGAAGATAGTCATAATATGTTATCAATTGCAGAAAAGGCATTATTTGAAACTTAAATTTAGAATTTAAATGATAAAATAAAAGACTATGAATAAATGTTATTACATTATGAATCAAAATCAAGGTAATCTATTTAAAATATTTAGATAATTAGAATCATAGATGAGCTATAATTAATTAGAAATGGACAATTATAAAAGACAATTAGAACATATTAATAATTATAATAATAACTCTTAAGAAATATAGGAGTTGCAATTGAAAATAAATCAATTAAGTATTATTTTTATTTTTTAAAATAGATTAAATTATTCAAAGAAAGGAAAATGATTATTAAGTAAAAATAGATGAATTATAGAATATTAAATAAGCATTAGATTAATAAGTAAAAAAGAACTAGAACTTAGAATTAAGAATTTTACATTTTATGGAATAAGAAGTTAAGACAAACGCCAATTTGAGAAGAAAATAATGAAAAATTAATTGTTATATTCTTATAAAATAAATCAATAATGGGACAATGTGTATGTTCTGAATAAATAACAATTCTAAGTGAAGCACCTCCACTGACATTTACAAGCAAAATTGAAACCATTAGAGATATAGTAGCTCTTCCAGATGAACCTTTGATATAAGGAGATTTAGAGAAGAATTTATCATAAACAAAAACTAGATAAATGGAAGATTCTTTGATTTTAGAAATTCATCGACCAGATATAAAGGAAGCACGATTGACATCTTAATTGTTCTAGACATCCTCATTGAAAGTCAAAGTACTATGTGTATTTTATGAAGGATTTATAAGATAGATTGGACCCATATGAAGTAGAAGAATCAGAAACTTATTTTTATGGAGTGTATGAATTAAATAATGGGAGTTTATATTAAGGAGGATGGTTAGAAGGCAAAAAATAAGGGAAAGGTAAAATACAGTTATTTAATAAAAAGGAGTTTAAATCATGAAAAATGGATCAATTTATGAAGGTTAATTTTCTAGAGGAATGGCTAATGGAAAGGGAAGAATAATATATGCTGATGGAGATTATTATATAGGAGAATGGTCTGATGATCAACATCATGGATATGGTGAGTATTATCATAGTGATGGTGCCATGTACAAAGGTGATTGGTTTGAAAATTTATAAAATGGATAGGGTTTTGAATTGTTCTCTGATTAATCTAGATATACAGGTTAATTTAAATTAGGTAAGCGTGAAGGATTTGGTGTTTTAAATTTCCTGATAGTTCTGTTTATGAAGGTTTGTTTAAAAATAATTAATTTAATGGATAAGGGTATTTTGTAACTTTATATATTATAGTACATATATTTGGTATGATGGCAGAAAATATGTAGGTGAATGGTTAAACGATTAAATGGATGGAAAGGGTAAGATGACGTGGGCTGATGGTACCATTTATGAAGGAGAATATAAGAATGATAAAAAAAATGGATTTGGAACATTAACATGGCGTAATCGTATTAGAAATTTAGTTAGCTGATTCTCGATAATATTCTGGATAATGGGAATTGGGCAAATAACATGGTATCGGAGAGTATACTAATAGTTAATAAGGAAAGAGGAAGGGATAATGGATAAATGGTAAAAGAATGTAATGGTGTGATTGATTTAATATTTAATTAAATTAGTGTTCTTTATATATCTTTATTTAACATTAACATTTCTTTTGATTATTTGTATGAAGTACCAAAATAAATTATAAAGTTAAATTATAACTCTAAGATTACTAATAAACTATTAATTAACAATAAAATATTTTTGCTGTATTTTCAATTTTCTAATTTACACAAACTATTATAATAAAATTTATCTTTAGAAAATTTAAAAGTCCTTTAATCTTATTAGATAACAAAACTGCATATTTTTTTAAACTAAAAGCTACCTAAAATATAAATTTCAATTCTTTTAAGAGTCTTTCTTAAAAAGGGTATGTTTGAATATTCAAATAATATGATATTTTTTGATGAATAAAACAATATTTTTCACAATATTAGAAATTGATTCTAATAATGTTAATCAAATGTTTTTATATTTGAAAGTTATTTAATTACAGTAAAAATAGCAAAAATAATTTATGTTTTCTTAATTTTTTCAAACAGATGTTATTCTGGATTATTTGTTTTTCTTCATTTTTTTAAAGATTTATCATTTATCCAACTGGTACAATAATTACAAAATTTTGTCAATAGTAATCACACTGAAGAGCAATCTAAATATCATTAAAAATGGAATACCTAAATTCATATAAAGATGGAATATTTGATTTGTTATTGTATATATGAAATATTAAATGGTAGTGTTAAAGTAGATTGAACTAATGAAGAAATGAAATATAAAATAAGATACATATCATGTTATTTGAATTATTCTTCTAATAAGCATTAAAATGTTTAAAATTATTCATAATTTAAAAATGCATTTAAAGATTATTGAACTATTTGACCACATAATTTAACAATAATAAAACTAAGAAGAAATAGATTAAATCTAAAATTAGATAAAAAAAATATATAAAAATTGATCAAATTCTAATATTTGAATGGAACATTAAGAGACTTATTTTGATGTGATAGAAACTAAGGAAAATAAAATCAAAATATAATTATAAATAACTATTAAAAAAGGATGATATATTATGCTTTTATTATATTCTTAGTTCTTATTATTATTTTTATTATTGCTAATATATAATTACATATATATTATGAATTAATTGTTTCAAAATTTGATTGTCTCATTTTATTGACTTGTATTATGTGTTGATGCTGTACTTCTAGTTCCTTTATAAGTAGGATCTTAATTGCAATCATATCCATAACCAGCAAATAAATCTAATTTATTATTTAATTCTTTATACTTTAAACACTATTTTTCCTTAGTAATAATTAATTTTCCTTTATCAATTCATCTTAAGATTCTTCACCATCATCAGATATTTATTATCTATACATATCCTCAACATTCTATTGTTTATAATAAAAATTACAATAGGAACATAAGGAGCTTCAATTGTCTTATTATACAATTTTTCCCATGGTACACCTTTTAACCAAGGATGGTTCTTGACTTCAGAAGGACCATTAAATCCTAATCTATTTTATGGTTTTCTTTGTAATAACTAAGAATTTAAATTAAGTTATACTTTATTTACAAAATCCATTGCTTCAATAGACCAACCATTTGGCAAATCTTCTTTTTTAATAGATGCTTATTTAGCTAGAATTTAATCTCTAATTTCCTTTCTTGACTTACCATTATATGGTCTCTTTTAAATAATAAAAATAAAAGATTACTTTTCCAATCATAAATTCATAAGCAATAACTCCTAAAGCAAAATAATCAACTGCAATTCCATGATTTTATCTACACATCACTTCAGGTGCTAAATGAAATTTATTAATAATATTTACCCATATATCCAGGAGTACCACTTGTATCTTATGAATTATCTGGTCTTATCTTTCTAGCAATACCTAGATCTGTTATTCTAGCATAACCCTTAATTAATATTTAATGATTACTCGTTTATCTAATACTATATTTTCTGGTTTAATGTCTCTATGAACAATGTTATTATTATGTAGATATTCTAATCCACTTACAATGCATGCAATAAAAAATTCTAAATAAATTATATAAATACTTGTTTGATGTTCTTTAAATCTCTTCATTTTACCAATATGGAATCTTAAATCTCCTCCTGTTAATAAATCCATTATTAAATATAGATTATCTCTATCTTAAAAAGCATAACACATATTGACTAAGAATGGATGTCTCAATGATGATAATAGTTCTTTTTCATTCATCACAGAGTTTATACTTCTTTTAGTAATTATTTTAGATTTCATCATTTCTTTCATAGCAAACATCTATCTGTTTTTCTTTAATTCTACTTTCCATACTTTTCCAAATCCTCCTTTTCCAATTACATAATTATATATGAAATGTGCTTTATTTAATCCACAAAACTCTTCTCCAAATGTTTTACTTTCATTTATTGTCTCATTAGTTTATTATTTTTTTTGATTTTGTTATTGCTTTAATAAATTAACTAGATCTATTGTTCCTTATTTACTTACATTGCTGTTATTAAGATTTTGTTTTTATTGATCCTGTGATTAATTAAGTATTTTAATTTTTTATTAATCCAAAATTGAATTCATTTCTTATCTTTCTCTTCTCCCTGTTTAAAATCCCTTTGGTATTTTTGGATCTCTTGCAATCGATCGATTTGTGCTAACATATTTATTTAACTTACTTTTCATTAATAATTGAATGAGCCGAAGTATTTCTACTCTAAGAACTATTGTTTCGACTATTACCCTTTGATTATGGAGCTAAATTACTTAATATCGGTTTTCTAAAATCAAAAATTATATTATTACTTCTCTATACTCTTAGGTAATGCTTATTTCTCCTTAGATTTTGATTTAGAGCTAGGAGCCTAAATTCCAAAACCTATAGCTTAAGTACAATTGATGATTTCCTCCTTCATAATGGAAACTGGAGTTGAATCTTTATTTTTCTTGAGATTCTATAAAACTTCAGCTATAGAAGAAGTACGAGAATTTGTTTTTGCTTCTTAGTAGGAGTACTTATTTTGAAGTAGGTCTTTGAGATTCTTAAAATGTGTCTTCTACATTTAATTTATTAATTATATATATAACGTTAAACAATTTCTTATTTTCATTATTCAAACTTAACTCTACTTTATCCCTCATGGTATGATACATTTCCTATTACAATAATAACAAATAGCTATATGTCTATAAACAATTCAAATATTTATAATTGATTATTATTCTTATTCAATACTTCTCTAAATAAATGATTAAGTTTTTACATAACAAATTAATAAAAGATGAAATTGTCAATTCGCAGATCCTTACAACTTCAAAAACGCGAATGGTAAGAACAAAGTCACAACCCTTCTATTGACAGTATCTAAAGTAAAGCATGACTTAACCTATTATGAAGATTAACCAACAGATATTCTGAATGAAAAATCCAGTCCATTCTCGCTTCCTATATTTCTTATACCTTTAATCTATGCAACATTCATCCTTATTCTTATGATTCAACTACACCATCAATAACAACCTCAAAAATATCCAATCAGTGCTTCTGCCACCTTGAAAACTCTCTAATAAAACCTAGCTTCATCCCCAATCCTCGATATTTAAAATACTATATAAATTAATAGACTCCATCGACATTATTAGAGTTGTCCATATGGATTTGAAATTACTAATATAGGGTCATGGGAAGGAGTTAATTCAGGTATAAAATTATAATTACATAGGTTGTCTTTGTTCAAATGGAGAATTAAAAGAAAGCTCTTATTGTTTTACTCATTTTAAATCCGATTGTTAAAGTGTTCCTTATTATAAAAGATAACAATTTTAATATTGGAAAGGAGAAATGTTATGTGTAGAATTTGCAAAGAAATGGAAATGGGTAGGTAATTAAGATTGTCCATCTGATTATTATAAATGTGGAGATGGAATATGCATATCCTTATCATCTCCAAAATGTCCAATAACAGATTTAATTTAAACAGAGACATAAACTGAAAAATAGATAAAAATTGGGTCAAAATATTTCAATAAGTATCGAAACGGTTCAACTCCTTTAATTAATTTTCATATTGTTCCTGGTATTCATTCTAATTCTATGTGTTTAAATTCTAATTTATAACCTAAGTTTTAGAGTGGTAAATATTATCCTTTAGCAATTGTTCCTGAAAAAGGATGTGACAAATACGGAAACACATTTAAATATTCAAAAATAATTGATTCAGATTATTAATTAAATGTATATGATGATAATGATTTCACAAACTTTTAAAGCACTCCATACTTTTTAGATTATATTGATAGTATTGACACTTACACCTTATAATTAATGAGTAGAATAACTATTAATTCAACAAATCCAGAATGTAATATTGTGGATCCAAATACTATTAAAACAATTAGATTATAAGGAGAGACTATCATAGCATATAGTCATTATGTAAGTAAAATATCTTTAATATTAACAACTTTATTATTAATAACTTCTTTATTATTTTATTTACTTAAAGATGTGACTTTCATAAGTGTAGATTTTACTAAATTTTAACATATTGAATATTAATTGACTATATCTTTTATTATATGTATGAGTAATATCGCTTTGGGTATAATTTATTACACATAAACAGATGGTTTAAAAGGTATAGATGGTTAGAACAGAGTATTTCATGAATATCAAAAATATAATTGTTTTATAGATGAAGGAATTACAATTGTATTTCTAATATCTAATATTTATAGGCTGTTAAAGAAGTAATATTATTTGCAGAGCATTCATACTTAAACACAGAGCCATGGGTGAAGGGATGTTTTTATGGAAGTATCTGTTTCATTGTGATTATTGCTATTTTATTATTTCTCCAGTATAAGAGAATCTAATAATTTTTTGTTAAACCTTGGAAAGTAGAATTAAGTTGATTATTATTTTTAATATTGATATTTAATACACTTACTTTATTCAAATTTTAATATCATACTTTAACAACGATTTGAGAGTTATCCTATTGAGAAAAATAATTATGATTTAAAAAACTTAGAGAATACTGTTATATTTTTAATGATTATAAAGTAACTTCAACAATAAGCATTTACGAATTATATATCCAGTACTTATTTTAAAGAAGGAATTAAAAAAAGAAAGAAAATATTAAACAAAAGAAAGATAAATATAAATTGACAGAAAAGATAAATATGCTTAAAATAAAGCAAAATGAACTCGTTAATGAAAGTGTATCAATTAAATAATACATTTTGATTTTAGATCTTAAACAAACTATTAAAAAAGATTTTATAATGAGGAAGAAATACAGACTGAAGAATATATTCATAATTATTGATTTTATAGGTAGATATAGTACAATAAAATGAATATGTAACAAGTAGATGAAATTTATTATGTGAGTAGTTGAATTTATATTATTTCATATTTTATATAATTATTTAAATAAATATGTAATAAATGGAAGAGGAATAATAGTAAGAATAATTAATAAATTTGGGTTCTTTGTTTGGTATTAATTGATATTATATTAATAAGTATTCTAAAGAATTAGAGAAACATAAAGAAATTATGGACTATAACATGGAGATTATTAAAGATACAGGACATATTGTTATAATAAAATAAACAAATNTTATAAGGAGAGACTATCATAGCATATAGTCATTATGTAAGTAAAATATCTTTAATATTAACAACTTTATTATTAATAACTTCTTTATTATTTTATTTACTTAAAGATGTGACTTTCATAAGTGTAGATTTTACTAAATTTTAACATATTGAATATTAATTGACTATATCTTTTATTATATGTATGAGTAATATCGCTTTGGGTATAATTTATTACACATAAACAGATGGTTTAAAAGGTATAGATGGTTAGAACAGAGTATTTCATGAATATCAAAAATATAATTGTTTTATAGATGAAGGAATTACAATTGTATTTCTAATATCTAATATTTATAGGCTGTTAAAGAAGTAATATTATTTGCAGAGCATTCATACTTAAACACAGAGCCATGGGTGAAGGGATGTTTTTATGGAAGTATCTGTTTCATTGTGATTATTGCTATTTTATTATTTCTCCAGTATAAGAGAATCTAATAATTTTTTGTTAAACCTTGGAAAGTAGAATTAAGTTGATTATTATTTTTAATATTGATATTTAATACACTTACTTTATTCAAATTTTAATATCATACTTTAACAACGATTTGAGAGTTATCCTATTGAGAAAAATAATTATGATTTAAAAAACTTAGAGAATACTGTTATATTTTTAATGATTATAAAGTAACTTCAACAATAAGCATTTACGAATTATATATCCAGTACTTATTTTAAAGAAGGAATTAAAAAAAGAAAGAAAATATTAAACAAAAGAAAGATAAATATAAATTGACAGAAAAGATAAATATGCTTAAAATAAAGCAAAATGAACTCGTTAATGAAAGTGTATCAATTAAATAATACATTTTGATTTTAGATCTTAAACAAACTATTAAAAAAGATTTTATAATGAGGAAGAAATACAGACTGAAGAATATATTCATAATTATTGATTTTATAGGTAGATATAGTACAATAAAATGAATATGTAACAAGTAGATGAAATTTATTATGTGAGTAGTTGAATTTATATTATTTCATATTTTATATAATTATTTAAATAAATATGTAATAAATGGAAGAGGAATAATAGTAAGAATAATTAATAAATTTGGGTTCTTTGTTTGGTATTAATTGATATTATATTAATAAGTATTCTAAAGAATTAGAGAAACATAAAGAAATTATGGACTATAACATGGAGATTATTAAAGATACAGGACATATTGTTATAATAAAATAAACAAATTAAGACATCAAATGTAATTTACTCATGGAAAGAGATATTAAAAGAAAGTAATTTAAGATGTGGTTAAGGTATATTATAAATATTAAAATTAGAATGATCCACGTGTTTTATAAGTATTATTATATTAAGCAGAAAAGAATTGGGCACATGCTATGACTTTAAAATAATTAATTAATAGTGGAGTCAATAAGAAAATTAATAAAAGATAAGTGAAAGTTTATTTAGTTAAGAAATTTAAAAGAGCTATTTAATATTCTAAATAATTAACTACTATTTGTGAATAAAGAACAGAAAAGAGAACATCATTAGAATCAGAAGCATATACATGGTATTTATAAGGATTGTATTATTTTGAAACTGAAAAATGGGAAAAAGCATTAGAATCATTTGCTAAATGTTATACTATTTATGAATAAATAATAAAAGTATGTGATTAATTTAGTTCTGGTGTATATTAAGAAAGATTAGAATAATTAAATCAATAAATTAGATATTGTAATGCTAAAGCAAAGAAATTGGCTACTTTATCTGCTGATGAATTAACTAAAATGTTAAAAGATCAAAGTGATCCTATTATGATTGCTAAATTTCAAGAAATGCTTGAAGAATAGAGATAAGCTAAAATGACTTAATAATAAGGTGTTTTTGAAATAGAATATTAAGATTCTAAATTACCCATAAAAAATGAAAAGGTGATTAAATTGATTCTTAAAATTCAAGAAAGTAAATTAATAGGTGATTTGGATTCATTTACTACTTTATTTTCACTTTATGATGAAGCATCAAAATATGTTAAGCTAGATAAAGATTAATCAACATCTGAATAAGAAAAGGAGATACATACTAAAGTCTTAGGTTATATCAATTATTAAAGATAATCTGCAACTCTTGATAGAAATGAAATGCATATTAAATAATATACTGAAAAATTCATTAAAGAAGATGGAGTCAATAATCTTTAAAATCTATAAACTAAAAAGGCACTTAAATTAAAATTAACTACTCCATAAGAAATTATTAAATATTGTGATAATTATTCATAAATTTTAAGATAAATAATGGATGAAGAACGTTTCAATAAAGATATTACATTATTCAAAATTTTAGATGCTAAAGAATTCTTTTGTAAAGCTCTTCGTTGTTTCTTTGTTGGATGTCTTTATTTTACTAATGAAAAGTATAGAGAAGCTTACAGTTTATTGAAATATCATGATGATTTATCAAGAATAGCTGATAGAAAATATATAGAAAATAAATTAGAACCTCATACTTTATTGAAATTACTTGTTCCATTGTCAACTTAAATTTAAAATAAGAGTAAATTAAATGGATTAAAACTTTAATAAGATTAAGTAAAAACAATTGGATAAGAAATTCAAAATATTGGATTAGAAGATAAATCTAATTAGAAGACTTTATTTGAATTATTAGATTCTCCTGAATAAATTACTTTAGATAATGTTTTATCTTATAAACCAGCTGATTTAATTTCATTAATGTAACCAATTGCACCTAAACCAATATAATTAGATATTGTAATTATATTATTTAATTATTATAGGCACATTCATACTTAATATATCCAACATTAGAAGAACCAAAGAAAGGTGGATTCTGGGGTAAATTAAATATTTTTAAAAAATAATGAGTAATTTAGTATATTTAACATATATATTTAAGTATTAATTATTAATTAATTTTTATTATCATTTTTTTTTCTATTTTTTATATTTCTCATCTAATTATTAGATTAGTTATCTTGAAAATTTAAATTTATTTAACATGACATTTATAAATTGATCATTATCTAATGTAAAAAAATCATCTAAAGATTTCAAATGTCTCAAACTATTTTCAAAATTATTTTATAATTAAATTAATTTCTATTCTTTAAAATGAATTATTGTCAAAGCACATCTAAAAAGAGTTTTTTCACCTTCTAATAAGAATATTTCAAAGACTCTATAAAAAAGATCTATTGGTAATGTAGATGCAAATAAAGTAATAAACCTATTATATATATATATATTTATATTATACCATTCAGTTGCAAAATAAAATAAATCAATATTATTCTTCTTAAATATTTTGGCAGTAGTTGGATAATATTGATTTATTAAACTATCCAAAATAAAAAATTCTCTAAGAAGATAACTTGGATTTTTATATTTTTCTGCTTAATTATATTTAGTCATTAAACGAAATAATATCCAAAAAGCCTAATGTTATATTATTCAAATGATATTATACATTTTCATCATTTGTCACCATAATTAGAGCAGCAGTTAAAAAATTTAAGCCTTAACAATAACCCATATCAGATATTGCAACAGATAAAGCTTTAAGAACATTTACAAGAGATTCTGATAAAACAGTTTAATCCTTTTAATTATATTTATTTATACTTGAAAATTTACATTATCAGGAAATGTACGTAAAACATCCAATCTTATTTGTTATTCGAATTTAAATTCTTGACTTTTGAGGAATTCATCATATTTTCCACATTTTAAATAAAGAATGGAATCTATTTTTGCTTATGGTACTCCAGCTAAATATGGCCAAGCTAAGTTTCTGAACCCATCGGGAATTCCCTTTCAATAAGTAGTTTAATACTTTCCTTGTTCTATTTTTAAGTAATTTTTTATCTGGTTTTTCTTATTTATCAAATATATCAATCATAATTCTCCATTTTTGTATTCTAGCATTAAAAGTCTTTGGATCATTTTTCTATTTTAATTCTTTTTATGATTTAAAACCATATTTATCTGTTTAATCTTAAGTATTCATAATTTAAGTTTCTTATTTAATAGGTTATTATTTCTTGAATTCAGTTTAGAATGTTGGAGATGCTTCAGGAAGAAGATCAAAAATGCATTCATTCTACTTACTTGGATTAATTGTATTATTTTTCATAATTATATAAAATGATTATATTCTTATTAGGAATAGTGAATGTCTTTGGAAACAATATTAAAAATCTAAGTGACTATGCAATAATATTGAATCAAAGTATTGAATAATTTATAATATTAGCATAGGAAATAAAGCATTATAATTTAGAAATTAATGAGGAAGCAGTGTTATTTCAATATCCATAAGGATCTATATTAAAAAGTTTAATAAGTACAGATAATAAAACAACTTTATGTGGAGTGAGTCATGATTATATATCAATAACAACAAATATATCAAAACAGATAATAAAATAAGATTCAGAAATGTATACTACTCTTTCAGATTAGATTGTTGCTGTAATCAATAAAAGAACAACTATGGGATTTATTACAGAGTAAAATAATTATATAGAATATGATTTAATATCTTTAGACATTAAAAATACAATAGCATTAAATTAATATATGTCTTAGACATAAATTTATTAATCAGGAATCTATAGTATTGAAACTAATTTAACTATTTTATTCTATACAAAAAATGTTCTAATTTTAGATGATGCAAATATTATTGTATCATCAAACATTACTTATATGGAAATTAATGAAGTTTTAAGTAGTTTAGGATTATTATATGTGGCAACTAATAAAGGTTTGGTAATTTATGAAATTAATGCAATCAACAAGACAATAATTTATAAATAGACTATTGAAGATAAATAACATATTATTGATATTGCATTAGGTGGAGAAAATGGAGAAATATTATATTTATTAAAAAATGATGGAATTCATATTTATCAAATTACAAAAGATTTTGATTTTAATAAACATTCTAAATTATCTATCATTCCTATAGACTATGGAATTGCATTTGATTAAGATAATGATTAAAGTTTAAGCATATTAATTCGTCCATAGAAACATGTTATTTTTGTTGATATTGAAATAAATCTTGATAAAGGAATTTGGATTCTAGAAAGTTAACATAAACTTAAAATTAATGCAGAAGAAGTTTACATTAATGATAAATATGCAATTTTAAAAGGAGTGGATACTCATAATATAATTAGACATTCTTTACCTAATATATTCACCGTAATAATATAATCATTAAATTTAGAGAATATTTAACAATTATCCATTTATGTTATCAAATGCAGTCTTATTAGGTTTTCATGAATTGAACATTGAAAATCAAGAAGATACAGTTCATAATTGGTATAAGAATTCAACTAAGAATATCTTATATGGAGTTGATCCTTATTAAATTGTTTTATATTAATGGTAAAATTTTGAAGGTTAAATTATTTGTTAAACAGATGATGAAACATTAATTGGTTAGGTAATTGTATTATTTATTATTAAAAGACTTTTGTTTATGATGT